GCTGCTGCAGCAGCAGCAAACTGCTTCGTCTGTTGTGTCTCCCTCGTGTGCCTGCAGCTGCAGGCTGCTGCTGCGCTGCAGCAGCAAGACAGGAAGCTGCAGCAGCGGGTGTTTAGTGCGTGGCGTGAGCAGCAGAAGCAAGTGCAGCAGCAGCGGGACAGAAAGCAAAGGCTGCAGCAGCTGCAGCAGCAGCTGCAGCAGATGCTGCGCATGCAGCTGCAGCACAGAGTACTGGTTGCTTGGCTGCGGCGGCTGCTGCGTCCGGTGCAGCAGCAGCAAACAGCAGCAGCACTTCAGGAGAGGTGCAGCAGGAAGTTGCTGCTGCTGCTGCTGCAACAGTGGAAAGCTGCTGCTGCTGCAGCGCAGCGCCGCCGCCTTGCTGCAGGTGAGATATCCCTGCTGCAGTTTGCTGCTGCAGCTACTCCTGCTGCTGCTGCCCCTGTTGCTGCTGCTGCTGCTGAAGTTCCCCGATTGCTCAGCCCTTCTGCTTCTTGGCATTTCTAATTGTATACGTTTGCTGCTGCTGCTGTCGCTGCTGCTGCTGCTGCTGTCGCTGCTGCTGCTGCTGCTGTCGCTGCTGCTGCTGCTGCTGTCGCTGCTGCTGCTGCTGTCGCCGCTGCTGCTGCTGTTGCTGCTGCTGCTGCTGCTGCTGCTGCTGCTGCTGCTGCTGCAGAGACAGTGCGTCAGAAGTGTGAGCTGCGGATCCTTCGGGCGAATTTTCTGTGGCTGGAGAGTACAGCTAGACGGCAGCAGCTGCTGCGGCTGCGGCTGCTGCATGCGTTGCTGCTGTTGCCGCTGCAGCTGCCGCTGCTGCCCGCGCCTGCAGCAGCAGCAGCAGCAGATGCAGCACCGGCGCGCCTTCCTCTTGTTCCGCGTGCCTTGCTGCAGTCGCTTGCTGGTGAGCTGGCTGCACCTGAACAGCAGCAGCAGCAGCAACTGCAGCGACTGCAGCAGCAGCAGCAGCAGCAGAAAAGGCTGCAGCAACCAACTCCATCAACTGCAGCACCGGAGTCTACAATCTGCCTTCAAGAGCAGCAGCAGCAGCAGCAGCAGCAGCAGCAGCAGGGCGTTCTGTCCCCTCCGCCTCTACAGCTGCCAGCAGCTCGTAGCGCTGATACAAAGAAAGATTTGCATGCAACAGCAGCAGCAGCAGCAGCAGCAGCAACTCCGGGGGACCTGTGGACCTCTCAGGACTCCACTGCAGCAGACACGGACGATCTGCTGTCTTCTCGCCGCAGCAGCTGCGCTGTGCTGCTGCTGCTGCGCGAGCTTTCTACTGGAGCAGCAGCAGCAGCAGCAGCAGCAGCAAACACTGAATCTGTTGATGCATGTCTAGACGCATTTGAGAGAGACGGCTGCTGCCTGCCGCAGCAGCAGCAGCTGCTGCTGCTGAGTCAGTCTGTCTTGCTGCAGCACCAGCAGCACCAGCAGCAGCAGCAGCAGGGAGCCCCTTCTCTAGACGCTGCTCAGCACCACGAGCTCGCCATCTACCACAGCAGCAGCAGCAGCAACAGCAGCAGCAGCAGCAGCAGCAGCAGCACGCAGTGGAAACTCTCGCTGCCCAGGGAGCTGCTGGCAGCAGCGTGGCATTATGTGCGGCTGGTGCGTCGCTGCTTCCTCTTATGGAGGCGATATAAAACAGCAGATTTGCTGCGGCGGCAGCAGCAGCAGCAGCAGGTGCTGCTGCTGCGGCGGCAGCAGCATCAGCTGCTGCTGCAGCAGTCTTGGATAGCATGGTGTACGGCTTGGCAGCAGCAGAAGAACGATGCTGCTGCTGCAGCACGACACTTCTCGCTGCTGCTGCTGCAGCGGCTGCTGCTCAGCTGGCGGCTTCTTGCGCAGCCCCGCATGCGGCGTTCTGCTGCTGCTGTTGCTGCAGTGCAGCAGCAGCAGCAGCAAACTCTGTTCGCTGTGGTGATGAAAGCATGGAGACAATGGACGCTGTAAGCCATTCCTTTGCTGCTGCTGCTGTCTCAGGCAGCAACTGCAACATGCTGCTGCTCTTGCTGCTGCTGCTGCTGCTGCTGNGCTGCTGCTGCTGTCTCAGGCAGCAACTGCAACATGCTGCTGCTCTTGCTGCTGCTGCTGCTGCTGCTGCAGGAAGAAACGGCAGATACGCCGTGCTGCTGCTGCTGCTGCAGCACTGAGGGCGACGCGGCTTTCTTCTCAGGTCTTCGGCTCATGGGCGACAGCAGCAAGGCTGCACACGATAGAGACGCAGGTGCTGCTGCTGCTGCTGCTGCTGCTGCTGCTGCTGTTGCTGTTGCTGCTGCCTCTCTTTCCTTTGGCGTGCTTGGGGTTGGTCTTCGTGCTTCTCCTTGCGGGTGCAAATGCAGCCCTGCTGCTGCTGGTGTTGCTGCTGCTGCTGTTGCTGCTGTTGCTGCTGCTGCTGTATGAGAATGCTGCAGCTGCTTTGTGTTTGTTGATGTGTTACAGCTGCGGCGTCAGCAGCAGCAGCGGCTGCTGCGGCAGCTGCTGCTGTATTGGCGCCTGTGCTTCCTCTGCCGCCGTCTTGCTGCTGCTGCTCTGTTGGCGCAGCAGCGGCCGCTGCTGCGGCGTGGCTGGCAGCAGCTGCGGCTGCATGCATTCAGCAGCAAACTGCAGCAGCAAACACTGCAGCGGGGCTTCGCTGCACTGCTGCAGGCCGTCAACCTGCGGCGGAGACTTGAGTGGTGCCAGGCATGCGCCACACTGCAGCAAGCCGTAAGCCCAGCAGCAGCAGCAGCAGCAGCAGCAGCAGCAGCAGCAGTCGTAGTAGCAGCAGCAGCAGCAGCAGCAGTATAGCAGCAGCTGCTGCTGCTGCTGGTGCAGCAGCTATAGGGGACTGGCTTTAGTTTTGGATTTGCGCCAATGTAGCAGCAGCAGCAGCAGCAGCAGCAGCAGAAGCAGCAGCAGCAGCAGGAGAAGCATTTGAATAACCAGCAGCTGCAGGCTGACCGATGCAGGAGCAGCAAGAGCAGCAACGACAGCAGCAACAGCAGCAGCAGGTGTGGGGTTGTATGTGTGTTTGCTGCTGCTGCAGATCCGGACGCAGCACGAGGTATTTGAGCGGTGGCGTTTGCTGCTGCTGCAGCGGCGGCGTGTTGCTTCTCTCCGCTCTGTTGGTGCTGCTGCTGCAGTGCTGCTGCGGCTCAACCGTTCTTTTTCTGCGTGGAAGGAGCTGGCAGCAGCAAGACAGCAGCAGCGGCAGCAGCAGCTGCTGCTGCTGCAGCAGCAGCAGCAGATACAGGGGAACCAAGGCAAAGCCCTTGCTGCTCGCTTCTTAAGACTCTGGCGCTTAGCTTACAGGCTGCAGCGGCTGCTGCAGCGGCGTGCTGCTGCTGCTGCATGCAGGGCCTTCGGGGCCCTGAGAGAGGTGCGTCTTGCTGCTGCTGTTGCTGCCGCTGCTGTTGCTGCTGCTACTGCTGCTGCTGCTCCTGCAGTGATGCAGTGCGTTCTTACCGTGCAGCCGGCAGTGTTGCAGAAGCAGCAGCAGCAGCAGCAGCTGCTGCTGCTGCTCCTTTCTCTAGAACTCTTCGATGGTTCCTTTTGCTTGCATTTGCTGCTGCTGCTGCTGTTGCTGCTGCTGCTGCTGTTGCTGCTGCTGCTGCTGTAGGCTGCGGCTCGAAGGGCGGTGGAGGTGCAGCGCTTCAGCGCATGCAGACGGCAGCAGCTGCTGCACTTCTTCAGGGCTTGGCGGCGAGCAGCAAAACTGCATGTAGCTGCTGCTGCTGTTGATGATAGATGCTCCCGCAGGTCTGCTGCTGCTGCTGCTGTTGCTGCTGCTGCTGTTGCTGCTGCTGCTGTTAGTGAGCGCATGCTGTGAGGGGCTGCAGCTGCTGCTGCGCGTCGTGCTGCTGTTTTGGCTTCGAGTATAGCGGTGTGTTGGTAGTGCTGCTGCAGCTAGGCACCGATACTCTTTGCTGCTGCTG